TCGGATCCCACATACAGACCGGTTCCCGCTCACTGGCTGAGCGAGGTGCGGGCGCGGCACCAAGGGTTGCGATCCCGTTGCCGGTCCCGGTCCGGTACGGGCGCGACACTGAGGGTTGCGATCCGTTGCCGGTCATGAAAAAAGACAAAAAGGAAAAAAAAAAAGATGACATGGATCTTTTCATGAACGTTTTGAAGGCCTCTTCTATATACTTTTTATATACTATATACTATACCATAAATTTTTAGTGTTACTTGTTGTTTGTCTCTCCCCATGAGGGCAGAGGTCGCTGCTGTAACTCCAGGACCCTACCTAGAATACAGTGGGAGCTCAATCACGTCGGCTGAATAACCACTGTCCTGGCTTTTGGGGCTCGCTACCTCAGGCAAGGTGACCAGGAAAAGGAGGCAGCCCACGCAGGCAGGGCTGTGAGGACCTGCATGCCTGACTACTGCGAAGCCTCGGTGAAATCTGAAACCGATACTTAAAGCCCCTGGATCTAGTCCAGTTTCTCCACCCCTTTTCCTGGAGCGGAGAATAAGGAAATGTTCACACAGCTGCACTGCAGACTGCTAAGAACAGTGACTCACAGTCAACCGTAACAGTAACCATTGACCATTCTAAGCTACACTTCTTGACATACATTAAACCATCTATTTTAAAAGGAAAAATTAGATTCTGTCCCAAATTAGCATAGACTATTAATGGGCTCTGATTCTGGTTGCTGTTTTATGCCCGGATGAAATCCGTTAGAAGTAACTGAGCTCATTTTTACTGAGCCAACACCCTGAACCAGATGTTACACAAGCAGAAGATACTTGATTTTTTCTCATGTACTGACAAACCAGAAAGTAGAATTATTATTTCCTTCACATAAACTTTCATTATCTTGAAAGGCCACAGACTAATTTGGCTACTTAATAATCTTTTACTCGTTTGAGAAAGAATTCTTATACCTGAAGCGTTCCAGGGAGTCTGCAGAATGACAGATTGCTTCATAGTGTAGATAGAAAAAACATACTTTCAAATTTAAAAAATCTGTCTGGAACATTATGTATCACTTTAGTGTTACTGTTCCATATCAGTAATTCTCCAACTGGTTAGTGTATTGGCTCTCTTTAGTGGGCCATTGATCCCACTCACTATATCTTGCTGAAAATATTGCTTCCTGAAAAACACATTATGATTTGATTTGCAACAGTCATCATTAAAAATTATTCTGACAGTCTCTGGTCAGTCTTCTTCCTCGCATTACCTTAAAGGCTGGGAAGAGAGAGGTGCAGGAGCAAGGTTCACGCTGCAGCTCCCATCCACTGCACTGATTTGGAACAACAGGGTCCTGGCACTGACTCACACAGAAAGTAACAATGCCATGATTCAAAGGTAGCAAGACAGCATGATTACCTATAGAGGTCAATATCAGCATTACCAGAGTTTCAAAGAACTCACAAATACGAGTCATATTATGATGATGTCTTTTTTATTAGTCAATGTGTAACCAGTGCCTGGCTCATACTATGTGCTCAAGAAATATTTGCTGAATAAAGAAATGAATGCACACCCTATTATTTGTCAAATTCAGACACGTGAACCTCATCTAGAGATAGAAAAGGACTTTGAAATGCGAAGAAAGAGATTATGGAGGCACTATGTAGTTCTGGTCAGGGTTTGCAAAAGTAGCATGTACTGGGAAAACTGAACATGTGGCGACTAACTCATGTAAATGCTACTGCTTGAGAAGTCAACCTCTTCATCATCACAGTATGAAGGTGCTGTGCTTTAGATACGAACTTTAACTTGTTAATTGGCAACTCACTTGACTGGAAGCTCCTTGAGGGAAGAGAGCATGTCTATAATGTTCATCACTATGTACCCTGCTCTCAGAGCAACGCCTGGCACCTGGCAAAAAGTATTTCCTGGATGAATGAACGTTTGACCTGAATACCATACTGAATCCCACAAAATGACATTTTCAGTCTCTAACACACAATAATCATAAACACCTTCTTGTGTTACACCCTGATGCTGCATGATAATTCCAAATTTAAAACTCCTAATGCTCAGTCAGAGCCAGGCACTGGCTTATCTAAAACTACAAATACTGGGCTTTTAAATTCCAATCACTGAAGTCTAGGTTTTTTGGAGCAACACCCTCTCATAGAAAAAAAGCAAAAACAATCAGAGAAAATATTTTAAAACTCTTCTTAAAACCATCAATATACTGACAAGACGGTAAAGAAGTATAAGCCAAAACCAAAGGGAAAACTGGAATCCAGGTAGGCAAATGGTCTACAGCCCTACCACCCTGAAAGCACCCCATCTCATCTGGAATCCAGAGAAGCAAATGACCACAAAAACTGCACTGCTCGAGGGCACTGGCCAGTCCCAGGAAACCTGACCTTCTGTCTCAATGGCCCCTGGGGAGAAAGCTTTGGAAACTCAAAAGGTAAGGAGTCCAAGTAAGACCTTTTCTATAATGAGCTAAGATTCCAAAGAACTCCTGAGGGTGAGTGGAAATTGAACTAGCTCTTGCTCAAAATTAACCTAGGGTGCTGATACCTTGGTCATCCAAGGTACAAGGTACACTAAGTCTTGAAATTAGTTTAAGTTGGATCCAGGCTGAGAACAACTGTTCCCATGTAGAAATTCCTTCTTGGCATTTCTTGGGAAATTTATGTGTCTTTCTAAATCCTAAGAAAAATCACTTAAGAAATCTGGGAAACAAGTGAAAGTATAAAATTCTCCTGTGAGAATAGAGCCTTACAATAAATGCAGAGGCATTACGGGTTTGAAGGAATCCACCAATGTCAAGTTCAAAGCAAGAGCAGAAAATACTAACACACACAGTAAAAGATTACATTCACGTTTTGGGCAACCAGGACAAGAGCACGTGGGAAAGACATGATCAGGATCTAATCAGTTTTGCTCGCAGCTGCTGCTATGTTATATGTGTGTTTACAAGTGTGTGTGCTCATGGCCCTGTGTGCTGTTAACAGTGAGTCATTCTTGCAAATAAAATAAATATTAATACGTTTATTTGCATAGCATGTTTTATACAAATATTGTGATGGTCCAAGAAATGTCAAGTTTTGGAAGCAATGTAAGTCCTTAAACTGGCAATTCTGACACATGTTCTGTGCAGTGTTAAATCTTCCTCAGAGAGGCAAATGTTCCATTATTTGAATACTACCCAATGTTTTCCCAGTGTTTAATATTTGCTATAGGCTATAGTTCTTTGTACATATTTTAACAGAAGAAATACAAAGAGAAGATGTGGATATTGATGTGAAATACACAATACCTACACAAAACCAGAAATTTGAGTTAGCAAGATTTAAATTGAAAATTTAATTCATTTAAAATTTGGATTAGCAAAAGCAGCATCAATTTCAATGGCAAAGTCAAAACCAGAACAAGCAGAAAAAATATTTTCATCGTTAAAAAAGAAAATGAACTTTTATGATGCAACATACACCCAAATGGCCGGCTCTACCTGGAAATGCTTTTGGATACGCTCTTAACAATTCAACCAACATCAATGCAAAATGAAAACTTTTTATGTCTGGAATATTAGTCACAAAACAAAGATTAATACTATCAGATAGGGCTTTCCAATAATACTCTTTCTTGCTGGAATTTTTTAATTATATGTTTTCACTCACTTTTAGAGACCTAAAATAGAAGGGGAGTTGGGTATGTGTGCTCGGTCTGTCACCTTAATGCAGGCTCTCTGGACCACCATTCTTCTGCTTTTATTTCTTATTAGCATCCTGAAATTCCTGGATCCCCAGATTACTTTTTATTGTTTACTTTCCTGATGACATGGAGGACCCTTGGGCCCTAGACCAGGTGCTGGTGCTCCTCTTTTTTACACTTCCTACTTTGTAAGTTACTTTTCCTGTGAGTCTGATGAATGTGAATAAAGTCTCCAGATGCTGGTCATCCCCAAATGAATGGACAGAATTTGAAATTTTGAAAGTGGGAGGTGGAAAGTAGTACACTGTAGTAGTTAAAAACATAAGCTTAAATCCCAACTCCCTTGGCAAGTTATTTAATCTTTATGTCTTAGTTTCCTTATCTACAAGGTAGCCATATAAATTATCCCCATACCTTTAGGATGGCTGTGAAGATTCTTTGTGAAACAAATGGTAATGAATGCTTACTAATAAGTTAATAAAAGTTTGCTATAGTTATTATTGCAATCTAGTCCCTCGACCACAAAGATAGAAGATGTGGTTTTCTCATGAATCTTGGCCTGGAAGTCTTTAGTAGACCCTGGTTAAAGACAGTTATACTTAGGAACTCCCCATCTACACAGTTGCCATGGGTACTGTGGCAGTACAGGAGGTCTAAATGTCAGTGGGTACACATGTCTCTGAGGTTTGAGCTTCTTTATCTGAGAAGCAAATGAAGTCAGAAGACTATAGTGGTCAGAGGATACAGCATGACAAAGCAATCTAATTGGGGTGATGGAATAAGAAATTAGGTAATAAAAATGCCAAGAATTCTTGTCGATCAAAGATAGTAACATATCCCGTGTGGGTGTCAAGAAACAAGTATATATTATTTCCTCATCACTTACCTCTAAGTTGCTGGAGTTCCATATTCAAACTTTCAATGTTATTCTCATAGAACTCGAGATTCTCAAGGGTCTCTGCTCTTAATGACTCATCTTGCTTCTCCTCCAGCATTAAGTTGAGCTCCTCTTGAGCCCTGCTGTACATATCCAAGTCCTGTTCCATTTCCTGAATCCTCACCAATACTAAGGGACATGGGGAAGTTTGGTCCAGACTCTTTTCCATGTGCTCAGGGCCCTCCTTCTCTAGTGTCTCGCAGCTAGGACGGTGATGGGCTAGGAGCCTGGGGGACACCGCATTCACTCTCTGCTGTGCTGAGGGAGGCAGGGGAGCTGGGCGAGAGGGTCGTACAGCCAAGGGTGGTGGAGGTCTCAGGTTCTGGTCAACTAGCAAATGCGGGGAGGTGGAGGCCGGAGTACAGGGCCGGGGTGGCGGTGGCCGTAGGGCCTTTCTCCTCTCAGGCAGCTCCTGCTGGGGGCTTAACTTTGAGGAACCTCGGACAATATCCTTCTCGGAGTTGAAGTCCATGATTGAAAAGTGGCGTAAAATTTTATCTGGCTCTGTGCTGGGCCCTGACAAACTCTTCTCAAACTCTATCAGTTGTTGCGTCAATTTAGAATCCAGGTCAGTGCTGCCATCTCCCTGTGAAAGTGCTATTACCTCCACAGCAGGCCCCTTGCTTTGGGGACCAGGCTTCAGCTCTGATCTCTCTGATGCGGAGCAAAAGCTGGAGGCATTTTCTTTGGGTGTGCGGTGTTTTTTAGCAAATCTTGCCAGGCCCTGCAGCTGAGGCCTCAACTGGCTGGGTCTGCATACCCTAGGGGCTGAGAATGAAGAGCCCCTGTAAAGAGGGTGCACTGGCTTCTGAAGAGTTTTCAGCTGGGAATACGTTGCTTTGGGAGGTAGGGTAAAGTAGTCTCTAGTCCGTGCTTCTAGAGGAAGGTCAGAGTACTGGGCTGAGCTTTGGTGGCTCCCTCCTGCTGGAGAATAATACTGGTCTTGCTGCAATTTGGGATGAAAAGCTACCTGAGGTCGAGGGGAAATACCATTGACTACCTCTGAAGTATCAGTCATGGAAGAGTGTTTGGCAAGAGGCTTGTCCCGCTCCATGCTGGGGCTTCGCGGGGGCCCTCCTGAGGTGTCTTCATCCTGATACGAGTTTCTGTTTACTTCATACTCAGAAGCCAGATGATCTAGGGGAGAAGTGGATGTTTCAGAAATAACGTAGTTGGACTTCTCTGCTTCATATTCACAGGATTCATGTCTTTGTTCCTCCACTACTAAGGAGTTCTCCAAACAACCCAAAGAAGATTCGGGGATCTCAGTAAGACTGCCTTCCTGGGGCAGAGCCACGTTTTCCTCCACCGTTGTGTCAGGACACAACTTTACAAAACGGTGAGGAAAGATGCCTGTCCTGCCCTTCAGTGACCCTTCTAGCCAGCCATCTTCCAAGGTCGCCAGAATTCGGATTTTATCGCCTACCTCAAAGTCCAACTCATTGGGCTCCAGGGCTTGGAATCTGTAGAGGGCAATCCCGTAGGCGCCTGGCTGCCCCTCATGCTCGTCTGACCCTCCTTTTTCATCTACTACAGGGGTATCTTCTTCACCATTTACACTGTAGTCCTCTTGATTTTCAGAACTTACCGACTCCTCCACAGTCCTCAGGGGCCCCAAAAGCTCTACAAAACCCTCTGGGAAAATGCCTCTTCGGCCCTCTAACTCCCCTTCAAACCAGCCTGGTTCAGGAACCCCAATAATGGTAATCACATCCCCTTCTCTGAAGTCCAACTCTTCATCCAGCTGGGCAGAAAGCCCCATCAGGGCCCGGGCCTGTCCCATGGAGTATTCAGGAATCTGAAGCAGGGCGCTCTGTGAGTGCCACTGCCGGCTTTGCGAGGAGAGGCAGAGCTCGCGAACACACGAAGATGGGAAGAAGCCCCAGGCACCCCAGCAGCTCCGGCCCTGCAGCCAGCCTGCAGTGGGAGTGCCATCGAGAATCACTAGGTCACCTAGACAGAGAGAAACAAAGTTAATGACCTCAGTCACCAGCTCAGCTGAACACTGCAATAACTAATAGTGCAACTCATCGTTTTAAACATCTGCCAAATTCAAGGAAATATATATACCTAGAGTTTTAAGAGCATGAACACTGTGACCATTTGATGAACTGAAACATTCCTATAAACCTGGCTTTCAAAGAATGATACATAGAACCCTAGGGGTGGGTCCCCAAATCCTTTCAGAGGATCTGTGAGGTCAAGACTATTTTCATAATAACACTAAGACATTATTTACATTTTCCCCTATTGATATTGGCAATGACTGTGCAAAAGCAATGGGTAAATCTGCTGGCAATGCATAAACCAATGCAGTGACAACAAATTAAACGAATGTTCACTGTATGGTCACTGTATTCTTCACTACTATGTACTCACGGTTTTTAAAAAAAAGCTAGTTTCAATTAAGAACAGTCTCAGTGAAGCAATATAAATTATTCATTGTATTTATTAAGCCTCAACCCTTAAGAACACTTTTGTAATATTCGCTGTGATGAGATGGGAACTGCACATGAAGCACTTTTACTGGATGTTCTTGAGGAAAAGCACTCAAGTGACCGAGTCACAAGCTTAAGCCTTTTTTCACAGAACACCATTTTATGTGAAAGAATGACTGACAGGCAACTATGGTTATTCAGACTTGGATATCGGGCAGACATTTTCTCCAAAGTGAAAGGACTGAGCCTGTAACTTCAAGGAAAACAGGTAGACAGTATTTGTTGCCAATGATAAAATTCCACTTTCAAGCAAAAGTCAGAATTTTGGAAATCTTGCATCTACTACCATGAGATTGACGGCTTTCCCATACTTAAAAGATTTTTCTGATGAGATCACTAGAGATATTAACAAATATAATTTTAAAATATTATATAATGAGATATTCAATATTTTGAAAAACTGAATAACGTATTGATCTTTATTTTGCAAATGACCAAAGCATGATATTATAAAATCATGTGTTGCTAAAAGATTCATTCCAAAAGCAAGATAAACCAATGGATTTTAGTGTAAAAACATGAAAAGTTCACGGATGTGGATTCAGATCCCACACTGCAATTAAACCTTAAGAAACTACCACTCCTTGCATTTTGGTGCAGTGTCAAATAAGAATATTTACAATTATGTGAAAAGACTATTAAAATACTCCTCCTGATTCCCATTACATATCTGTGTGAGGCTGGATTTTCTTCATAGACTTCAACCAGAAAAACATACTGCAACAGATTGGCTGCAGATACAAATATGAGAATCCAGCTTTCTTCTATTAAGTCAAATATTAAAAAGATCTACAAAAATGTAAACCAACATCGCTCCTCACTAAATGTTTTTGTTTGGAAAGCTATAGTTACTTTTCATAAATTTACTTGCTGGGGTTGGATTTTAAAAAAGAAAAAAAATGTTATTTATTTTAATATGCAATGGGTTTTCAAATTAATAAACAAATATTTTTTAATTTACAGTTTTAATAAATAATATGATAAATATAAACAGATATATCCCACATAAGCCAAAGCTCTTTGGGGTCTCAATAACTTCTAAGAATGTGTAAGGATCCTGAAACCCCGAAGTCTGATAAACACTGCTATAAACAGTGTTATTACAATCCACACCACTAGATTAGTTTATAAGTGATAAAAGAATATCCCCCAATAAAGCCTTTATGGATCTAATTCCTCACACTAAATTTTACTTATTTTTATTTTTGAAGAAATTGAGATAAAGGAAGGATAAGAGCACAGTGTTTCTGGAAAAGGAAAATTAAAATTCAATCACATAATTTACCCCAGTTAAAAAAAATTACTCTATAGTTTTGTAATTGATTGTTTTATAACAAACTCTTAATTATCTAACTAAAAACTATTCACTTTGTGGATTATCAATTTTAATCTTAATTTAACTTTCTGCTCATTCAGCACCTAAGTCAGCTTTCCTTTCATGAGCAGAGGTGCTCAAGGAACACAACTGGCCCAGGTAAAATAAGATCGGGGTAGCACAGCACCTAGCAAAATCATATGAGTCATTTTATAGTCAAGCACACTGGAAAACTGGGTTATCTTTTATGCTCTTGGTTTTTATCTGCTCTTGATTTTTAAAAAAATTAAGTCTGGGGCCAACCCCGTGGCGCACTCGGGAGAGTGCGGCGCTGGGAGCTGGTGCACTCACTGGCTGAGCACAGTGCGGGCGACACCAAGCCAAGTGTTGCGATCCCCTTACCGGTTACAAAAAGGACAAAAAAAAAAAAAAAATTTAAGTCTGTCCTATCTTCCCAAGTAGGGAAGATATGTTCCTTAGTGGCATGTATCACTTCTATTTTATATTTCAAGACTCTGCTAATTGATGATTATTCTTCAACTCCAACTCCCAAATAAATTCATTATATTCTCCCTCCAAAATTGGCTCCTGCTGCTAGCTTCCTTAATTTCTTCTTCCAAAATATTTCTTCCATATATTAATCACTCTTTATTACCACCCTAGTCCAATTCCCACCATCTCACCCTTGTGAATCTTGTCCCCAGACATGATTTCTTTCTGTCTACAAAATTATTCATGCCAAATTAAGATTATAAACGTACCAATTTTATCATATCCTTTCCTCGCTCAAGCTTACTGTGAGGCACGAAATGCCACCAATACTTCCTTCCCTAACAATCCTATTCTTATTACCCTAAATATATATAAAAAATAAGTTTGCTCTGGACATGCTCTGAAGAGGTTTACTTACTAAGCTACCCCAATGCAACCTCGCATTCATGATAATCCAGTCATAACCTCTCCCCTCCCCCAACTATCCAATACTATCTCATCTGTGATATGTGACCCTATTCCACACAAGAGGACTTTCATTGTTCCCCATACAAAACCATGTCATTATTCACTCTGAACTTTTACTCATGCCATATTCCCTCTCCATCTGAAACCTTAGCATGCTCCTTAGAAGCTCACGTTGATCTTGGCTGTCTGTAGCCTACAAAAGAAATTACCGCTTATATAGCTAATTCTAACACTTGTATTTTTATATACTACACAGCACCCAACGTAAGGTTTTAGACTTTGTGGCAAGCACCCAATATGTTTTCACTGATTTGGTATTATTTTGCTTAGATGTTTCCAAAAAAATAGGGTCTTGGTCCTATTTTCTATATTCTTTTAATTTGTGATTCTACATCCATTGGTCAGAGCCTGGGGTCCTGAGAATTACAACTGGATTTTCTCCATTGGCTCTAAGGCCATTCCATCAGGGCCACAGAGGGAACCCACTGGTGACAGGATTACCGTTCAGACACAATGGCCTCTTGGTGAACAGGAAGAATAAAAGCAAGGCATAGCTCCCACTCTGCTGGCTCTGAAATGAGCTGGATTTCTTAAAGCTGTAGAATCAGATATTTTCCTTGTTTTGCCAGATCTCCATGAAGCTGTATAACAGGACTTGTTTTCTTGTCTATTTTCAGTGGAGTACCTATTTTGATAAGCTGGATTACCTGGCAGACTGTCATTCTGCTGGTTATTTGTACATAATAAAGGTGAACTTCCAAAAAGTCACAATTTAGACCTTAGAAAGCACTTTATAGATACCTATTTTGATAAGCTGGATTACCTGGCAGACTGTCATTCTGCTGGTTATTTATACATAATAAAGGTGAACTTCCAAAAAGTCACAATTTAGACCTTAGAAAGCACTTTATAGATCAGCACCTGATAGCCCTGTTACTGAGCTTATTAGCATGAGTCTCATTTTCATCAGAAAGAGTTATGCAAGCCATTCCTCTGGAATCCTAGGAGATTCCTTAGCAATAGAGGTGACCTAGTGCTCATTTCCAGACCTCTGCAACACCAATATGAGGAACTCCTGGAATAGTGTGGCCAGATTTTGAGAACAGAAAAATAGGAAGTGTGATGACAGCTCATCCCAGCCACGGTGCTTGTTTCCTATGGTTGCATTTTTTATCTGAACAGGAAATACATTAGGAATAAAATGATAAGAATGAATGCAGATCGTAGAATCTGGTCTAAGCAGTCTGACTGCAGTGTTAGGTTCCTCACTGAGTCCTCCTGTGGCTTCTCTAAGTGTCCAGGGAACTATGTGCTTTATGCAGGCTGACCACATATTTTATTGAGGATTCCATAGGAGCCATATCAGAACTCTAATCCTGATATCTCACACTCACGGCACTGCAAATTTACAACACCTATGCTTCAACGGATGAATACCATTTATCAGTTTATTTATAAAAAAATTAATCGATTTATTTTTTAATTGGCCTTTTTGGGTGCTGGGTGGGGAGGTGGTCTAGAAACATGAGGTTATAGGCAATAGATAAGCATTCTGTAGTATGTGAAGCAATTATTAGTGATATTCTATCACTCCCCATCATATGCACTAATTTTTTTCTCTCCTCTTTCTCTGCCATACTCTCGTTTTGTTTTTGTTTTTTGCTTTTTTCCTTCTCTTTATTTTTCAGGACAGTCAATGGCACTGGCTACATGAGCTGATCCTTCTTCTGAGTCTCATTCCTGAGTTTAAATATAACTCAAAATACAAGAAACAGTCCAAAACATTTGGATAGCTTTGGGCAAAGGAGAAAGAGTGACCCCTGCTGGAAGAACACCTGGTGGTCCTGAGTCCAGATAGAATCTCCTGAAAAACTGGTCTTATACACAAAACTTCATAAAATTACTGAGGAAACAAGTTCCCTAAAGCACATCAACAAACCCCAGGAAGCCAGGTTAAGTCTAATAAAAATAGCTAACATTTATTTAAGGGCTTCTGTTTGCCAGATGCTTTACATGTGTAATCTCATTTAATCCTCACAACTACCCTGAGGTAAGGATTATTATCCCCATTTTGTAGATAAGGAAACTGAGGCTGAGAGACTTAAGTAACCAGCCCAAGGTCACAGCTACTAAGTGGAAGAGTTGGATTTAAACACAGGGCTGTTAGAATTCTTATCCCTTAATTTATACTGCCTGCTCTAAATACATACATATATACACACGTATATAATTTTTTTCTCTTATTAATCCGAATGATACTTCTTAAAGGTAAGTAAATAACTATTAACTAAAAAGACATCATGGCAAAACACAGCAGATCTCAAACATTATCCCACATACTCTTAAGGTATCCGAACCCCCTCCTGACATACTCCAGCACCCAAGATTTGTGTACACAGAAGAGGAGAAGCTACACTGTAACACAGAGTTTACTAAGGAAAGATAAACAACAGGGGTCAGGATTAACAGTACTAAAGGATAGGGATAAAGGAATATATACTACTCACGAGCTGAAACAATGATCTAATGGAAAAAACAATTTTTAGTCTAAGAAGCAGAAAGGTCGTCCCAAGCACAGACTTGAAAATCTAGAAGCCTAGACTCAAGGCTGATAAACTATATGTGGTATAAAACAATACTTTCATTTTTTAGTGATTTTGTTTCCACCTAGCAAAATTAATACCTGTTGATGTAACCTGTCATATATAGAAATCTAGAGGAATTAAAATAATTTGTCTGAAGCTAAGCCTCCCAGAAAAAGGCAAATTACATAAGTTTGCCTAACTTCCCCATCCTCAAGAAGGCTTGTGTTTTCAAGACAAATAGAGCTAAAATAGACTTGAATCTCTTTCTATTCTCTCTCTCCCTACAAATCCCCCCGCCCTGCATCCTCTTCCTTTGGGCTCCACTTACATCTTTAAGCTTATTAGGTTTCATAGGTTAAAAGATAGTCAGGATAAAATCTACAGCTTTCAGGACTCAGCCTGACTTTGAGTCAGTCTTGGTACAGATGACTCATGGCTGAAAGGTAGATGCCAGGGTCTTCCTGAGAATCTCTCAGATGGCCTTGGGATTCCTGAAGCAGATTTCAACTTCAAAGGAAATTCAGAACACATCAGACCAGGCATCCCAGGACAGAAATTGAGCAGAAAATCTCTCTCTTTTATTTTTAATATCTAAGATTTGACTATACAAGATGTAATAATGAAGCAAAAAAGTTAATTCCAGAAGCCACACTCTCAAATTCCTCAAATTGTTGTAGACATACTGCATATTCTCACATAGTATATCTTAAACCCACTCTTTACTCCAGGAATTAGGTGTAGAAAAGGAAACGTCCATGCTATCCCCATCCTCTGCCCAGCACTGGCGGCAGGCACTGCCCTCCTGCCCTTTCTCCACTCTATGGGCTGGTCTGACGTGGACCACAGACCTCTGCTGGCAGAGCTAGGAGTAAGGACAGATCAGGTCCCTGCTATACTCTCTTGATCTCTTCCTGTCTGCCTTCTCAACACTGATTAGCAAGGAAGCCTGGAGGAAAAGGCTGAGTAAGAAGTGAAGTACAAGAAACTCAAAATAGGTTGAGGATTAAGGTCAAAATCCAGTATTACTTTTTTCTCACTGACTAAGGATTAGAGAAATTCACTAGGTCTTTCTGTGTGTGTGTGTGTGTGTGTGTGTGTGTTTTAAGTAATTAAACCTATCCCTTTAGTGCCATACTCAAGAGAGCAAGTAACAATACTAATAACACATCAGTAAGTTCTACCATTTTGATGACTGAGTCATCACAAAATTGGATTGGTCATAAGTCTCAGTCTGTGGAACACTCCACATTCCTGTGTTTATACAGAATGTGTGGACTTAATCAAGTGCTTGTCAAAATGGTTTAGAGTCTATCTTTAGAAGTTCATATATCCGTCAGAGTGCAAGAAGTGAGATATATTTGGAATATCACTGAGACGAGGCTCTGACTATCTATTTTAAATTGCTCCCTTTTAAACTGGTTCTAATGAGAACTTTTATAACACTATCTTTTTTTTTTTTTTTTTTCCGCAGCTGGCTGGGACAGGGATCTGAACCCTTGACCTTTTAACTCTATTTTGTATTAGATAATTTGTATTATCTAATGATAGAGTAGTAAAATAGGGCTGTTTTGCATGTCTCAATTTCCATATAAAAATTCCTACTACTATGCATTAATTAATGGTAATGTTGTTAGCATAACCATATTGGTTTTATGGGGGAAAAAAGATAATTATAGTCTGAAGCATGGCTATGGCATGGGAGCAGGAAAGAGACAATACTAGGCTTAGAATAAGGTGATATGAATTCACATTCTAAGGCCAAAACTTCTTGCCTGCAGCAAACAGTCTTTGAATCTCACTCTCATTATTTATAAAATACAGTTAATAATACCCATTTTGCTACTTCTCGGTCTGTGTTGAAGATCAAATGAGAATGTGTTTGTAAGAAAATAGCATAGAAAAAGCTACTAAAATATAAAGCATTATGATTGTCCACACTACGTTGGTATTGCTGAGGACTCTCTAGAGGTTAGCCACTTATAAAAATTCAACAAAGATCTAGTTGTCAGAATGGGCAGAATCAAGGCTGGACAGTTAGCTCAGCTGGTTAGAGCACAGAGCCGATAACACCATGGTCCATGGTTCAATCCCTGCACCAGCCAGTGGCCAAAAAAAAAAAAAAATTTGGCAGAGTCCACCAGTCTAATTTTCAAATAGTCTACTCTTTGATGATCAGCTTACCTCGATGGAGGGGGAGACTGTTCAATTCTTGGGATGTAAACTCACAGATGCAGACAAACAGCCTCTCTCCCTCTTTTAGACTGGGAATGGTCACAATTTCCACAAAACTGCTGGGGAACTGTCCTGAAAATAAAAGCAATATATTGAATTTTGAAATCCAATAATGATCCTTCAGAAATTTAGGAGAAATAGTGTATTTCCCAGACAAACAAAAACTGTGGGAGTTCACCACCACACAACCAGCTCTATAAGAAATCCTCAAGGGAGTCCTGCATCTAGAATCCAAAAAATAATAATTGCTATCATGAATACACAAGAAAGAACAAAACCCACTGGTAAAACAAATATGTAAATAAGAAAGAAAAAGAAACTATATCTTACCACCTCAAAAAATTAACAAACATTAAAGACAAACAATAAAAGGGGAAGAAAGGAACAAAAGATATTTAAAACATTCAAACATAAATAGATAAAATGCCAGGAGTTAGATAATACCTTTCAACAACAACGCTAAATGTAAATGGATTAAATTCCCCACTCAAAAGACACAGACTGGCCAATTGGATTAAAAAGCTAGACTCAACTATATGCTATTCACAACAGACTCATCTCATCTGTAAAGACACACACAGACTAAATATCACACAAATGGAAACCAAAAAAAAAAAAAAAAAAGGAAACCAAAACCAAGCAGTAGCTACTCTTACAATGGATAAAATATACTTTAAACCAAAAATCATAAAAAGAGACAAAGAAGGCCATTGTACAATGATAAAGGGATCTATCCAGCAAGAAAACATAATAATCACAAATACATATGCACCCAACACTGGAGTACCCAGATATATAAAGCAAACACTATTAGTCCTAAAGAAAGAGATAGACCCCAATACAATAATAGTTGGGGACCTGAACACTCCTGTCTCATCACTGGACTGATCATTTTGGCAACAAATCAACAGAGAAACACAGGATTTAAACTCTACTCTAGACCAATTGGACAGGGCAGATATCTACAGAACATTTCATCCAACAACTACAGAATATTCATTCTTCTCATCAGCACACGGAACATTCTCCAGGACAGACCACATGTTAGGTCACAAATCAAGTCTCAACAAATTTTTAAAAACTGAAATCATTTCAAGTATCTTTTCAGACCACAATGGATTAAAACTAGAACTCAATAACAGCTGAAACTCTGGAAATCATACAAACACATGGAAATTAAATAACATGCTCCTGAACGACCTATGGGTCCAAGAAGAAATTAAACAGGAAATCAAAAAGTTTCTTGAAACTAATGAAAATAAACACACATAACACCAAAACCTGTGGGATACTGCGAAAGCAATACTAAGAGGGAAGTTTACTACAATAAACACTTACATCAAAAGAACAGAAAGATTTCAAATAAACAACCGAATGCTACACCTCAAAGAACTAGACAAACAAGAACAATCCAATCCCAAAATTAGCAGATGGAAAGAAATAATGAAATCCAACACTGAATACTGAATTTTCTTTTAATATTAAAATTTCTTTTTCTGTTTGTGTATAAGGAAAAACTCTTTTCTAAGTCTACTCATAGACCCTGAATTGAAAACTCAGAGTACTCATAATTGGAGACTCCATTGTAGAAAAAGTGTGTGCACAAAATTAGATGCATGCAAAACACAGAGAATGCAATCCAATTCAATAAGCATTTACAGGTGCCACTCTGTGCAAGGTGCACTGCAGAAGGAAACATGAGTAAGACAGTCTTGGTCTTCAAAGATCTGAAAATCTAGTTCAGACATAAAGTCTCATTCAGACACAAATAATAATTCAGTACTGAAATCCAATGTCACAACATAGGTACACAAATTGCTATGGATGTTCAGGGAAGGTAGAGAATTGGTAAGAACACGAAAAATTTTATGAAAAAGATAGCATTTGAGTCTAAAGATGGATAGGGTTTTAAGAGGTGGTGGCAGAAAGACAGGACCCACCAGTTAGAAAGTATAGGAAAGTTTGATCTATTCTACTTTCTAAATATCTCTTGCATCTGTCCACTTATCTCCAGACCCACACCTTGGTCCCAGCCATCATCATCTCTCACCTGGATGACTGCAAACTTCCTGCTTGTATCCCTGCCTTCAGTTTTGCCCCTTCCTATATTCTTCAATCTGCAGCAGTGAGCTTTCTAAAACACAAATCTGATTGTGCTTAAAGCATGTTGACAGCTTCCCATTTCCTGAACTTACCGTGGCACACTCTGTCCTCAGGATCCAGCTTCTGGTCATCTCTCCAGCACCACCTTCCCCCCCGCCCCTCACACTTCATGCCGTACCGACCTCCTTTCAGGCCTTCTGAGCTCTTTCCCACTCAAGGCCTTTGAAGCAATTCTCTCTGCCTATCCTCTTTGTTTTGCTTCCTCCCACTCATCATCTTTGTCTCAGCTGAGATATCATCTCTATTGGGAAATCATCTATTTATCTCCCATATGTGGGTCAGGTGTCAGCAGAATCTGCTTTAAGGACTGTATAACATACTCTAACCTAGACTTATATAAATAAATGCAAGGTAAGGATTAAATTAACATAGGTGCTTGTTGTGTGGGAAGAACTCCCACCCTTCCCTAGGCTAATTAATGAAAGAAATTGAAGTTAACATACATTTAAAAAAACAGAAGAAAAGTAACCAGGTGCATGGAACGTGGGAAGTTTGTGGCATCCAGGGTAGAGGGTAGCTTTAATAAATTTGTGCCAACCATGGATCTAGGAAGGAGAGAACAGGATGAATTATGCTCCCTTAAAAATAATGCAAGAAAGGATTAAAAACGTTAAAAGAAGGAAGCCAGAGGAAACAAGGTGGGGAGCACCTTATGTTCTATAAATCAGAGATAAACCTGATTGTGAGCAGCAGTGTCTAACAATGGGGCTCTGAAAAAAAGAATGACATGTGTTTTGAGAAGACAGACAACAGCACTGACAAGGTCAAGGGTTTGGATCCCCTCACCAGCCAGCTGCAAAAAAGAAAAAAAAGAAAAGAGAGAGAGAGAGAGAGAAATAACAGAAGTGAATACAAAGGATAAAGACCTGGGAAGGGAAAGAGAAGGAAAGGGAAAGACATGGATAGAAAACTGGACCAGGGTCAGCTCGTATCTGACCATCCAACCTGTTGAAGCAATGAGAGAAATAACAGAAGTGAATACAAAGGATAAAGACCTGGGAAGGGAAAGAGAAGGAAAGGGAAATACATGGATAGAAAACTGGACCAGGGTCAGCTCGTATCTGACCATCCAACCTGTTGAAGCAATCAACAGGAGATATGGAAGGATAACAGAAATTCTCTCTTCCCTGGTGGGGATCACAGTATGAATACAGAAAGAAAACACAAAAGAATTCTGAAGTTTGCTGATGCGGGCTTCTCGTTTAACCTTTATTTTTATTTTATTTATTTTTTTGATTATTCTTTTTCTAACCTTTATTTTTAACATGGGAAAAAAAGGAGAGCCTGTGGTCCATCCTGCACACAGGAATTATGAGTCTCTTACCTGTAACATCCTCCTTCTTTCCTAGAAGCCAAAATTCATCCACCACTGCCAACACCTCAATTATATCTCCCACAAAGAGCGGCAGTTCTTCTGATACGCTAGGGCAGAAGTCAAAGATGGCTCGGACCACAGAGCCAGTCTCCATGTTTTATAACCTGGAAAGAAAGGCCAAAAGAAACAGAAAACTTCAAGATGTAAGACATCGTAATATAGGTCTATTTCTTGAGAATGATAAAGCTTAATATATAAAGATACTTATAATAAAGTCAAAGCTAAGCAAATAAGTTTGTACTTCACATTTTTAAAAAATCAAAGTATTTTCTCATTTATTTCCTTAGAAATAATAATTTCTTCACATATTTTTCATTTGATTCTCAAAGCAATTCTGAAATTGAAAAAAAAAAGAAGTGACCTATACCTCTGAGTGATAGAAAAGATTGAAGTCAGCAAATGTCGGCTTTTCAGAGTGCCTGAAGAGGGCAGTAAGGAAATGAACATTTTTAAAGCACCAGACAACATGGCACTTTTAAAATACAGTCATCCCTAGGTATCTGCAGGGAATCGGGTGCAGGACTTCCCAAGGATAACAAAATCCACCGATGCTCAAGTCCCTTATATAAAATTGGGTAGCATTTGCATATAACCTACACGCATCCTCCCATATACTTTAAATCGTCTCTAGATTACTTACAATACCTAATACAATGTAAATCCTGTGTAAATAGTTGTTATACTGTATTTTTTTATTTGTATTATTTTTATTGTTTTTTTAATATTTTTGATCAGATGCAGAACCCACAGATACAGAGCACCAACTATATAATATTTAAAAAGCAGGGGTTTTAAATATGGCATTTCATTTACTGCCCATAACCATCTTAAAGATTAGGATACCGAGGCTCAGCAAGGTTAGAAAAGTTAATTTGTCCAAGATCACAGAACTCATAGCAGAAGGGCCAGGACTCACACTGAGGTTATTCTCTGCCTCCTCCTACCTACCGAGATTGTATCTGCAAAAAAATGTAACACAACCTGAAGAACAGCAGCAGGACCATGTCTCAAAGGCCAAGATTTAAAACACTTTGAAAAGTAAAAATCCATAGAAAGAACAAGAAAGAACATAGATGGCACCTTAAGACAAGATTTAGTATACCACACCAGATCGAGTATGTGGTTTTGGTTCAAAGAACTCCGTGTCCCATCCCTGGAGAGTATCCTTACACTGGTACAGTGTCTGTGCTGTAATAAAATGATGTGTCCATTACTTTGATATGTATGGCTGGGGAACCTAAGTGTGCGTTCAAGCTATAGAAAGAGAGGACGTAAGTAGTGTGCATATGTCCACCTGTAAACAACCAGCCATGATTAGAGCAAATTTCTCCCTGGGTCTTTTACAAGGAGCAGCTGAAGATTTCCAGAGTGTCCAGACCCCAAGTCTATTTTTCTTTATTCCCCTTGAGTACTCATTTGGTGTTGACAGAGATGAGGATTCTAACTTTCACCTTCCACACAACTACAATCACATCCAAAAGCACTAAGTGCCTAATTGCAAAAAAAAGAAAAGATAGTTGCAGCTCTGTTCAGTTTATAATCTAGAAAACACTGATGTGGATAAACATATTAGGCATATAATAATTAGTTTAGTAGATTAATGCGAAGTATCTGTGAGATTTTCATGAATCATACAACACAATTAAACATTACACATTTAATTTGTACTGCTGAGTAAAAGTAGCTTATCTTTGTGTCACTGGGACTTTTTTGCGTAATGAAATGACTTGGGTCCAGAGTGGAAAAGAGAAGTGGCTAGTAACATTCCCCACATCCTTGTCCTCTCCTACCACAGATTTTCTTTAAGTTTTAAAAAAGAATCTGATTACAATTACATGCTAAAGAGGCAGCACGTGTGAATGTACAGCACTAGGCTTCTGCAGGCAGAGAGACCAACATCCAAATCCCAGCTCCACTATTCATTAGCTATTTCACCTTTGACATATTAAACTCTCTAGGCTTCAGTTTTCTTGTCAAGAAAAATGGAGATAATAATACTTTCATAATAATCATCAAGAGGATGATTACAATGACAAAATAATTATAATAATTCCTAATATTTATTGAGTACTTTCTATGTGCCACACATGGCATTATGTACTTCCCTCATTGAGTCCATACAACCACCATCTCATCTATTATTGGTTCCCATTTGGCAGGTGAGGACACAGGCTCAGAGAGGTGAGGTAATCTGTGCAAGGTCACACAGTAAGTCAGAGATGGAATGGGAACCAAGATCTGTCTGTCTCCAAAGCCTTAACCAGTATGCTAACAGTGTGACAGCACCTAGGACAGGACTGAAATAGTAGCTGCTCAATAAAAATTAGCAGTTATTACAAAACATCATATCCATAATCAACCACAAGCTCAAATCTATGTCTGATATAGCATCACCCGAGAATGTGTTGTTTCAAGTATATAAACACAGAACTTATCATTTCAACATGTCAAAACTTGGTTAATTTTGACCAAGTTTAAAAATACACACATATACCTTCTTGACTTCTGCAATGAAGACAATGAACATGGTACCACATAACATTTAGGCCTTTCTCTATTTTGGGGGAGGGGTGTGGAGGGTGGGGAGGGGTGGCTAGCCAGCACAGGGATCCAACCCTGGACAGGCTTCTCTCTTTTGATGTCGGCCTACCCTCTGCTCACAATTTATCTCCTTTGTCAACTTTTCCACCCTCTTTCTAGATTGCTGTTTATAATCTGCTATGGAGGAGGAACCACACATACACCACCAAAATTATTAAAAGTTCCCAGATAAATAAAAGTAAACAAGCTCTAAATGAAAGGCTAACAAACTCTTCACAGTGGTAAAGGACATGTGTTAGCACTAGAGTTTTTCAACAGTTATTTTTTACATGCTCTGAGGCCCTGTTCTTATTTTCTGGCTGTCTTCCAGAGAACTGAAGTTGCCAGATGTCAGATTTCCATATAAGGGTGGTATCACAAGTATTTTTTTTTTTTAGAAAAGCCACACATAATATTTTGCAAACCTCTTAGCCATCTATATGTTATTAAAACAACTCCTCAAAAAATAAAAATAAATAAATAAAACAACTCTTCAAGGTTGGACCGACATGGATTTTCTTCTTATGGTACATTTTTTCAAATTTCTTCTCACTATCAGACTAAATATATACTTTATTATCTAAAACATCAAGTAAAGAATTAGCATAAGTCCTGTATGATTACTTACAGAGCTACCCTATTACATTAGGGAGTAGTCCTTGTGATCTGAAAGAGTTAAAGCTTCTCCCTGAGAACCTTTTCACTCTACCAGAAAATGACTCAGAAGCAGAGGAGAAACTGGCTCAATAAATACTTTTACTCACTGACCTCCTACCCTATTGGAATGACTGTATAATTGCAGAGGAATACACACCCTAGAAGGGTACTGAAGTCAGAGCCTTGCTAAATTACATGATTCATGTGTGAGACCAGAAAGTAGGTCGTGATGTCCCCTACTTTACGTATAACAGGATGGATTTCATCTCAGTCTTCTCTGCCCTGATACACTATGAAAAGCAACTATTATTATTCATGCTGGGGTCATTTTACAGGCCTTAGCATATATTTTGAAACTTAATCATAAATGACTTCTAAAAGCTGTTCCACCAACTCCAGATGGAAGTAAAAAGAACTGCAGAGAAAATCAGAACACAGATGGCCTTGAGAGAAAGCAGAGGAAATTACTGCCCATATGGCATGATTTTGGGGACATCAGAGAAGTTTGTTGTGAAAACACGTTCCTTCCTTGCTGGTGAATGCCTGCATTTCTACCTTTGGAGAGTCACTCTGCATTTGAAATCTATCCTGGGAGAGAGAATCCTTCAAACCCTTTTAGGATGTAAACTCTGTGAGGGAAGAGATTTTTGTCTGTTTTATTCACCAGTCTACAACAGTGCCCGACACATAAAATATTCTCAAATTTTTGGTTAATGAATGATTTATTGAACTTTAGAAAAATATATGGAACTACTCATATCAAGATTTCTAGTTCCATTTATCTAAAACTAAATTAACCCTCTCTTCCCACAAATAGTTTTACCTTCCAGCTTGCCTATGTATGACCCTGGTAACAGTTTCATATAAATCTTCCAGGTTAAGCATTAGAATATTGGACTTCTCCTTCATCCTCTACAGCCAACAGTACACAAATAACAGCAGCTACCATTTGAGTATCTACCAGGTGCCAGACACTGAGCAAGGAGCTTGAATCATCACTACTTACTGCAAAGTGGACAGCAAGGCTCTAGATAAATATTGGACTTCTCCTTCATCCTCTACAGCCAACAGTACACAAATAACAGCAGCTACCATTTGAGTATCTACCAGGTGCCAAACACTGAGCAAGGAGCTTGAATCATCACTACTTACTGCAAAGTGGACAGCAAGGCTCTAGATCCAGGGTGCCTGGTTCAAATCCCAGCACCAACACTGAGCAATTTCCTCAACCTCTTTAGCTAACAAACAGCTAAGCCAGAAACCAGAATTCAGGTCTGTTTAACCCCAATGCCCATGTTCTTTCTACTAGAAATACTGTTTCTCTTAAATCTCATTGGTTCTTCCTTCAAATTCTTTTAGATTTCAATTTTCCTCTCTTTATTCCACCAACATTTTATTACGAAAATTTTCAGTCGAAATAATTTTACAACCACCACCCAGATTCTACCATAAACATCTTACTGCAGTTACTTCATCACATATCCCTTTATCCATTTATCAATTCGCGTTATTTTGTGATACATTTCAAATATATTTATTTTTATTTTGATGCATTTCAAAATAAACCACAGACATTTCCCCCCAAACGTCAGCATACTTATCTTAAGTAGAGTTCAATATTTGTTTAAAGTGCCTTTTTCCTCTCTTCTTGGCCAAAGTTACAATGATTTTCTTCCCAATAATCTGTTAGTGAGCCTGATTAATCTTTCTAAAATGTCAATTTTTACATATCACTCAGTCACTTAACAATTCACAAGGTCTTCCTATTTTCTATAGTTTATTCACATATTCAACAGACATTTATCAAAGCAAATGGAGTCTAACAAATTCCCATGCAGGCTAAAAATTTGGCTCTAC